GAACATGAAAAATTCAAATTTGTAGTTAATCGTTTTTTACTTATACCGGAATACCGGGTGTGTCCCAAAAGTGACTCACCCCATTTTTACAGATAAAAAATCGAGATTTGGTATATTGGTATATTACAAAAATTAGGATTGATTGACGTATTCAATTGTTTTCGGTCGCTTCCTGGTATTTTGTTACGATATGACGATTTATTCGATAGAATATGACACTCTGAATAGAATGACATATCGTATGTCAACTTTTGACATTTTCGAATATAGTTTATTTGAAATTGCAGCATGCGTTTCATAACGATAATTTCACTCGAAATACCAAGTGTGTGGTACTAAATTATTCGTAAAAAATGCCTTTTCCAAATATGCTAATGAGCTACCCTCGTTCCATTTGAAAAAATTGGGATATGATTAAAAATACAATTTGGGCCACTTTTATCCGGCCAGGACAAGACACGAAAAACATTAGAAGATCAAATTGATTTTTCCAAGGCTCTGATTAAAAATTAGGGTTTTTAACACCGCCATGACACTCTAGATTAAAATTTAAAATTCAATTTTGTTTTAAGTGAAAATATCAAAAGTTGACATATGATATGTCATTCTATTCAGAATGTCATTTTCTATCGAATAAAGTAAAAAAATACCGAGGTTGTTATTTAAAAATCAAAAGTTGTAGTCATTTCCAGTGAAACAGGAAGTGCGCGAAAACAACTGAACACGTCAATCAATCCTAATTTATGTCATATACTCCATATACTAACATACCAAATATCGTTGTTTTATCTGAAAAAAAATAAAAAAGTTATAGGGGTGAGCCACTTTTGAAACGGACCCGGTATATTTTACAAAGCTAAATTTATATCTAACATTGTGGAATATTTTTATTCTCAAAATCACACAACAGAAAAATTCTATTTTTAACAGTGTAGTGAGAGTAAATCAGATAACGTGAAGTTCCTGCTGCGAAAGTAAATGAACTTGAAAATCCTTTCATTTATAAGACCGTCAAAATTTCCTGTAAATATTTGCAGTTCAAGGATAACGATGACTAACAAAAGTATACGGATTATAACAAAAAGCATCTATAAAAAATAAACGCAGGTGCAGTGCAAATAATTATATATAATCGGGTCATACAAGAAATAAAAAAAAAACATAATTGACGTGAAGTATTGTCTATTACGTACTTTGTAGCGGATTTATATTTTGCTTGACTCGTTTAAGGTTACCAGGAGAAAAACAAAATCGTTTCAGGTTGCATCGTTAAAACTTGTGTTCAAAAGGAAGTTCATTGTACAAATTAACAACTTTTCGATTAAAATGACAAATATGACAAAAATATTTTAATAGTAGATGTTTTTAATAGTAATAGTAGATATTCGTATGCAAATTTATTTAAAATTCTTTTTTCACGTATATTATAATTCTATCATAAAACATTTATAATATGTACTACCCATCAAATATATAATAACAATTTTCTAACATTCTGCTTCTGCTTCTATATCGCGTGAAAGTTCTAAATAAGTATATCGATTGACCGATTTCGGAATAGGACCCTGACTTCCTGCTTTAATCCTTAAGCTTATGCTAGTCATGTGCCTTATTCGCAAAAATTTAGTGAACTATTATGACGGATCATTGGTGGACTATAGTGCCCGAACTTGGACGAAAAACGCCAATTCCTGAAAATCTTTGGGACATTTTAGGAAGGGTAAATATTGTACCCTATTTTAAAAAAGCCACTATTACACTATCAAATTTCTTTGTCAAAGATTTTATTTAAAATATATATGTATATATTTTTATAAAAATTTTGATAGTGTAATATGTGTAATTTTATAAAATATTGTATATTAACAGTGTTAAATTTTTCATCAAATATCTTCTTTAAAGATCTTTGCCAAAGGAATTTGATAGTGTAGTAGTGGCCTTATTAATAAAGCTTAAAGTTTAATAGAACGATATGATTAATATTGTATGTGCTTCATCGTCAACTTGAACATAGAAAATCTCACGTAAATTTTAACCCCCTTTATGAATAATAATCCCTCCCCCCCCCCTTATGAATAAAAGTTTCACATGTTCCATTAGGTATTTTTACAGAAATCATTAAGATAAAGATAATACCTCGTTTTGATTGGTTACATATTAGGTACTACATACACACATATTGATCAAAAATATAGTCAGGTTGATCCTGGTAACACTCATGCTTATTACAACGTATCATATCATGGTTTCCTTAAAAAAGGAACTTCTATTTAAAACTTGGAATATTCAAAATGAACCATTTGTTTAATTTTAATGAGTTGCCTGAAAAGGATCATATAAGTATACACAATATAATAATGTAAGTAAATAATATAACACAGTTATATTATTAATAATTTTAATAATTATAACACAGTATATATTGGAGCAATTTATTTGAACGAAAAAAAAAATGCGGAAATGGGTGTCTTTTTAGTAGCAATAATTATAATTGAAACATTTTGATAAGAAATATCAACTAATAACATCACAATTTAATATAACCATATAAATATGAATATTACAAATATAACATTGCATTGAATTTTAATAATTTTATAAATAAATTTAATTTAACTGTATAATTCTTATTTTGCAGTCTCAAATTATCGAATAGCGTTATTAATTCATACTCTTTCAAATTCACCTTGCTTTTACTTTAATTTTCTGTAAATTGCTTTGATCGATACGATTTTTTCTTTGTTTTGTGTCTTTTATTGCTCATTTTTGTTCATATATTTCCGCATTTTAATTGTTATTAATACAAAGCATTTTTGGATATATAAATATAAAAAATGACATTTCAAATTTTTGTTATCTATTCTAGAAGGTAGTCGAGTTAAAGTAGCAATTTAGAAGTTCTGCATAAAAATTACAGTGACGTGTTGTTGAATTGAAACATATAGTTCATATCAAATAAACTTTTAGTCACGTAACTAAGCTTGATCGGCACATTGATTGTCCACTTTTACATATTTTCTTTTAACCAAAATATTTTAGGAAACAAAATAAAATAATTAGAAATATAGGGTGGTCCGAATTGTATTCCGGAAACTTCGGCAGCATATTCTGCAGATAAAAATAGGTAAAAAAGTTCGTATAAATGTAGGTAGTTAAAAAAAGTAGCTAAAATGCTTAGTTTCGGAGATACAGGGTGTAGAAATTTCATTTTTATTTCGATTTTTTCCAAATAATTTCTGAAGTGACGTCAATATTTAGATGAAAATTGGTGTCTGGGAGTTTTTTGACATGAGCAATTTTATTTTGATGTCAATATGACTCCTACTGGTAGAGGGCGCCACCTAAATGTGTTTTAACCGTTTTGAAGCGTAATAACTTTTTGTCTAAACCTGTATAAATCTACCGACGGAAAAAATATACATCTATGTGATTTTTTACGTAAATATAAATATCTCTTTGTAAAAATCGCTACGAGCAGCCGTTCTCCAGGTATTTAGAATGGAAATAGTCAACATGCCATTATTGACGAAAAATAAGCACGTTGAGTAGATAGTTATTTCACTGAAATAATAAATTTGGGAAATTTTTATTTCTTTGAATTGATCATATTTTTTTCTGCAAAAAAGTTTTTGTTGAACTTTTGGTACAAAAACATTTCAAATTTATGATCTCAGTCTGATAACTATTTAGTCAACATGTTCAATTTATGTCAGTGATGATAGGTATTGATAATTTCGATTACAAATCTGTCGAAAACCATTACTCGTAGCGATTTTTATCAAGAGACCTTTTTTACGTAAAAAGCGTCGTAAATGTATATTTTTTTACTCAGTAGTTTTATACAGGTAGGGACGAAAAGTTATTACTCTTTAAACCAGTTAAAAAATCACCACTTACTGATTGGCCACTACTAGTAGCAGCCCTCTACTAGTAGATATACCTCTACTAGTGATAGCCCTTTACTAGTAGGAGTCATATATTGACATCAAATTCAAATTTCTCATGTCAAAAAACTCCCAGACACCAGTTTTAATCCAAATATTGACGTTACTGCAGAAATTATTTGGAAAAAATCGAAATAAAAATGAAACTTCTACACCCTGTATCTCCGAAACTAAACATTTTTGGACATACATCTATACGAACATTTTTACTTATTTTTATCTGCAGAATATGCTGCCGAAGTTTCCGGAATACAGTTCGGACCACCCTGTATATATGAACAGTTATCATCAACAAAACTCACCTTCTTCACAGCACTTAAGGGATATAAAGGGCCATTATTACCGCTTTTCTGTTCAAAATATTCTAATAAAGTTGCGATGAGTTTCTTACGGCTATTAAGCTATCTTGTACACTTCGCACGAAAAGAGGTTCTAAAAAGAACAATGTTCGACTGCAAGGTCTGCTAGTAAACATTTCTAAGCTTTACGAGTGACAAATAATTGCAGAAGTTAACCTTTCACACAACATGGCAATTATATGCTAATAACAAATGTTTGAAAAGAATAGGACCATAGGAATAAACAACCAAATGAAAATTTTCATGCCGACTTACAAAATGATGATCATAGTGTACTATATTTTCCATTAACATTGTATAATACAATATTCTTTGGTAGTACATATACATTAGCACTTTCAAATGTAAAAAACTAGGCATTGTATATCATGCGTACAGATGTACCTAATATGATATTTTTAAGATGGTTTTGTTTATAAAATATAGAAATATAAAATATTTGTTTATTTATAAAAACACTTCAGTTTGTTCTAAAATTTCTATGAATTTTTACTTGACTAACATAAACCACTTAACGTTTGAAGTGGTATAGAAATATATTGTCTACCGTCGAAAACTAAAAAGAAATAAATTGTTTATTGGTTTATAATGTATTATTGCTTGGTTATTTATATTATTTAGGTATAAAATTAATTTTAAGTCTGCTTCTAAGCCAACTATAAGTGAATATTAATAATTATTGTTTATTTTATTGCAGGGTCTTGCGTTTAGTATTGAAGAAAGACAAGCCTTGGGAATACATGGACTTTTACCACCCAGAGTTAAAACGCAAGATGAACAAGTACAACACTGTAAATTGTGTCTGGACAGGCTTGACGATCCCCTAAATAAATATTTGTATCTAATGGGACTTTTGGTATGTATCATTTATTTTTATCTTAATTCAGTTGATAAAATTACAAAAATGAAGGATTCTCATTAAAAACCAAATAGTTTACTTATAGTTAATAATATTACTTGGTAGTAAAAAATACTAATATTTATAGTAACAGCGCATTATTAAAATATAATATAATGATAAAGCATAATAGCTTCTTAACTACTGGTAAAATATTTTCGTCAAATTTGTGACATCTCTGTTGACGTAAAGGTTTTCAATGACATAGTATGTAGAAGACAATATATTAGCCAAAACGTTGACTTAACTATATGTTACTAAAATTCAAGAAAAGCACAACTAATTCTTTAGATATTCTGAAATAAAATATTTACAACTACCTATATAGTTCATACCAATTAAATTTTTATTCACGTGATTAAGCTTGACCGGCACAGCGTTGCCCACTTTTACATATTTTCTCTTAATCAAAATATTTTAGAAAAATAAAAATAAATTAATAATTATAAATATATATAAACAATTATTATTTACATCAACAAAACTCACCTCCTTAACAGTACTTAAGGGACATATATACAGGGTGCTACAAATTTGAGGTACGAGCATTGGTATCTCGGTAACCGTAATAGATATTTCTTATCACGCCCCCTCCTGCCGAAGGTTGGCGATCCAAATGGCAATTGTGGCTCTGGAAACTGCAGCCCGGAAGATTTCCGCAGACGAGCGTTCAAACCATCTCCTCAAATCTTTTAGCCATGAGTTCTGGCGTCTTCCTACTGATCTTTTCCCTTGCACTTTGAGACGCAGTATTTCGTATCTACCTCTCATCACATGACCCAGGTATTGCATTTTTCTTTCCTTGATCGTGTTCAGTATCTCTTTTTGTTTCTGCATGCGCTGGAGTACTTCATTGTTGGTGATCCTTTGTACCCATGAGATTCGCAGCATCCGTCTGTATATATACATTTTGAAGGTTCTATTCTCTTCTCGGTCTGTGAATTGTGTCCAGCTCTCATATCCATAGAATAACACAGAGAAGACGTAGCATCTGGCCATTCGAGTTCTGAGATCCGTACTGAGATCTCTTCTTGTAAAAAATGATTTCATTCTTACGAAGATTTTTCTCGCTTGCTCAATAAGTAATAATAGTAATAGATACGAACATGGTTAAATTGGGGCAAAATTGCGCTTTGGGATGTTCAGCAAGATGCTATCAAAAAAGTTTTAAAAATTTCAAGGATTGCTGAGTTTTTTTGGAAAACACGAATTTTTTTGAAAATCAATTTTATTTTTTCCTGTCGTTAGTTTTTAGAAAATCAAAAAACTAATTGCACATTCTCATAGCCACTTTATTAGGGCTATCTGATAGTATTTTTAGATTTTCAATTTAGCTGATAATTTGTGAGATACAGAGGCCGACTTAATTTTTTTAAATACGGACCTGCACTTTTTATTTCAGTTTTTGAAAGAACTTGGTCTCCTGAGTACAATGATGTGCCACACTTTTTATACTCTTTTTTGTTTCGGACATTTGAACACAATTTATTTAAACTAATTTCAAGTTCGGCTCTGTTTTTTTTTAAATACTACCTATTTAATTTATTCATCGTTACAATATTGATAAGCCTTCAAACTTAATAATGACGTGGGGTAAAATATTGAATACGGAAAATCATGTAATGGCAATAAAAAATAAAAAATCTGATCAAGTCATTTGTAAAAGTGAAATCAATATTTCAAAGAAAGTTAAAAATAATATGTTTAAATGACTAACCTGGATATTATTTATTTGAATCTTTTAATTGTCTCGATTTTCCTTATTCAATGTTAATTAGTGCTGACATTTTGTTGCGATGAATATAATCAGATTAAATAATAATTTAAAAAAGCAGCGCCGGACTTGAAATTATTTTAAATAAATAGTTTTGTTGTTGTTAAGATACCCAAAACAAAAAAAAGTATAAAGTGTGGCATATCATTGTACTCAGGAGACCGAGTTCTTTCAAAATCTGAAATAAAAAATGCAGGTCCATATTTAAGAAAATTAAGTTGGACTCAATTATCTATCAAATCATTCATCATTATCAAAGTTGGACAAATTATCAGCTAATTTGAAAATCTTGGCTAAAAAAGTGGCTATGGTAAAATTGTGCCACGATCCCCAAGAAACCGTTGCCCATTTGACGATGATATTAAGTGAATTATGGCAAAATTTTTACTCTGGCGTATGTCAATCATTAATAAAAACAATGCCAAACAGGCTTGCAGTGGTTGCAAAAGTTCATGCCGATGTAAAGCCATATGAGAACAGTTATTTTTTTAAAGTGTCCGAACATTTAGTTGTCACGATATTGTGCAATCTTTTTTGTTTATTTATTGGCTTACAGTTTATTTTAATGTTTATAGAAATTAAACTATTTAAATATTCAGAAATGTTAGAATCTAATATATTTTTAATGTATTTCTTAAATGTAAATAATTCAGTTAATTAAAATAAAGGTTTTTAATAAATTTTTGTTTGTCCGAACATTTAGTTGTTAGGGCTCGTACAGCAGAGCTACTACCTGAATCCCCAATGGGAAATTTAAATTCCAGTTTGTCGGCCCGGCGCCGAATATTCCATGGTTGGCAACAATGAATTTAAAAATCGCGCCCTCGATTACGTAACTAAAAGTTTAATTGGTATCGCTTATAGGTATCGATTAAATTATTTACCACAATTAATAATTTAAAATAAGTATTTCGACTTCTGATGCAATACTTTTAAAGCTATGACAGACAGTTCGTTATTCATTTAATTTTGAATTTTGCTAATACCTAGATGTATTTTTTAAACAAAATTTTTCCCATTGCTCTAGATTATTATTTATTGCATTATTTATTTAATCTAGAAAGGGAATATGTAAAGTATTTTAAGTTAACATATCCTTTTAACTGTCGGCGCTAATCGTGACAGGGTGTACTCTGTTTATGCGGATTCCGAACCATGGTCCTCGGCCATAAATGACACCAGTTAAAAATTAGCAACGAAACTTACGAATAGATTGTAATGGTATTTACGGTATAATGCCCTTTTTTAGATTTACATATGAAAAAGTATATTTTTCCATTGTAATTGTTTGGCTCTCATAGGATTATGTATATTAAAAATGTGACTGGAAACTTTTTTATAAATCTATATTTATAAGTGTATTCAATAACGATGTAATTTAGTTGTTGGTCTACTATCTAATTGAATTTTCATTCTAATCTCTGTCTATTAATCTTAATTGATATTTCTTATATCTTTAAATGAATTTGCGAATTATCTGTTATCTATAAATGACCCCTGTGAATATAATATTTATTTACTAACAAGAAAAAAAATGCATCACATACTTTAATGACGCTAATATTCTAATTTTATTATAGTAAACTTAATATTTCGTAGAATAATTTTATATTGTAGAATGTAGAATGTTTAGGAGGGGAGTTAATCACCGCGACCTTATAGATCTATTGTGTGTTCCCCTTTCTTGAGTTATAACCAGTTATAACTCATCATACAGTCTCAGGGCTTTAACAAAAGCCAGTATCTGAGACGGCTCCACAGAGGCTAGCTCTCCATCCTCGACATCAGCCGTACCAAAGTTCATGGCACGAATGGTTGTCGTCTCGGCGGACTCAGTGATAAGGTGTTCTGGTGTTTCCCCATTGTCCCCACAAAATCTGCATTCGCCGTTGTTTCTCAGTTTCAGCCTACTGAGGTGTTCGTTGAGGAGACAGTGTCCTGTTAGAAACCCCGTGACAATCCGAAGATTGTTTTTACTTAAATCAAGGAAAACCTTTGATTTTTCTCGGTCGTAAGTTCTGAGGAACTTTTTCGAGTGTCTTAGACCGTTGGCGGACATCCATTCCAAGTTATGGATGGAGTCTTCCAGATTCTTCAGTTCCACTTTCAGTTGGTTACCGTTTGGAAAACAGAACGGTTCTGGTTCAGTTAGTGAGAGTGTTCGCTCCTTTCCTAGCTAGATCATTTGCTTTTTCATTGCCTTCTATCCCTTAATGAGCAGGCACCCAGAGTAGGAGGACTTTATTTTCTTAATTACTTATGATTAATTATTATATTAAATCTAATTATTGTAAAATTAAGAGTAAACATTTTTTTCCATCTTTTTTAGCTATTTTCATAATATTGAAAAAATAAGGTTCTAAATATCAAAAAAAGAAATCATAATATTTTTTTTAACACGTGGTACTAATTTGAATTACGTTTTCTTAATTTGATATTTGAAAAATGTTATTTTAACTTTAAGGGTATAAATAACTGAACTAATAATGTATTTTCTGATTAACTTCTGGAATATTATTGAGCTTTGAACTGTTAACTGGAAAATTCCAGTGCATGCAAATTTTTCCGTTTGAACGTTAATATAATGCATCCATATACCTACCGAATGCATTCTACTCAATTTATTTTCGTAAATGCAATTCTTGAATGGACATATTAATTATGAACATATTATGTCTCAGTCCAATCTATAAAAATATATAGGTAAGAGGAGAGCAATTAGAAACTACATACCTATTAATTGTTAGTACGGGGTCTAAAAATAATAAGTTGTTGAAATAAAACATATATTTTTTTATTATAACTGGCTAAATTAGTAATATTGTGAGCTTTATATTTATTAACATACCTTGTGTTTCTAAATATCATGTACATGTATAAACGAATAGTGGTATGAGCATCAACATCCTGTAGATCGATAACAAAGAATAAAATAACCTAAAGAATCGCCTTCCTTCATTAATACATGATATTTAGGAATACCCTGTATACAATATGCCTAATAAGTGTCTAAAATTTAATAACTATAATTTTTCGATTACAGGATCGAAACGAAAAATTATTCTACAGGGTGGCCAAAGAATTCTTGTCAGATATTATGCCTTTAGTTTATACACCAGTTGTTGGTTTAGCCTGCCAAAACTTCGGCTTGGTATTTCGAAGGCCAAGAGGCCTGTTCATAACTATATATGACAAAGGACACGTGTATGAAGTACTTAAAAATTGGTAAGTAATTATTGGTTACAGAGCAATATAACGTAAAAAAAAGTCACTTGGTTGGTCACTTATTACTACTAAAGCAGAGTAGAGTAAGAATTTAAAATTTGTTTCATAAGGTACACAGCGTCCCAGAAAATTAAAAAAATATTATTTTTCTAAAACTATAACACCCTGTATATTATTACATTAATTTTTCATTTTTAAGTGTTTATTATAACAGTTTTAGTTTATACAATTAAAATAAATGTAAATTATATATTACAGATAAATCTTATCATTTTTTAAATATTTACTATTTTGTGAAAATGCAGTCAGAAGAATGTCTAGTCGTATTTAAGTTTTAAAAACCAAATATGCAGTGTTGTTACAAATATACATAGTTTAGATTATCTATAACAAAAATGTACAGGGTGTCCTATTTTAGTTGAAATCATACGGTATCTCCGTTATTAGTAAAGATAGGTAGATGAGGTTTGCACAAACCTGTCCCACTTTTTTGTCAAAAGGAAGATGCTGTAAACAAAATTTTTGTAGCCCTCTTTGTTTCTGAGCTACAGGATCTTTTCGAAAATTTTGCAATTTAGGACAGTTCCCGTATCTCCATTATTGTGAAACTTAAGGATGCTTCAAGCTATACCGTGACGGGTCCGAGCCGTGCGTCGGTGAAGACACGGTCAAACATTATCAAGTGTTCTTTACACATATACATTCATGCCAGGCCGAGCACGATCCGAGCTTCGCCGGAACTCGTCCGTGCCCCGTCACAGAAATGTCGGCGTAAATTTATTTTCCGGATCCGCTCCGTTCCCGCCACGTTGCGGAAAGCATGAATGTACTTTTCCTGGTGCCCCGAATGCAATCTGTAGTCATGATATAAACAAAGTGCACTTTTTATCATGTCTGTAGTAGGTATTAGTGAATCTTACAATACTGCTGTAAGATTCACTAATACCTACTACAGACATGATAAAAAGTGTACTTTGACGACAGGGTATGCGTCAAACTGGACAATGAAAGGATGTAATGAAGAAGATAGGTCCTTCATCTTTCCCTGTGAGCAGGTGTTGTTCTTTATTCATCAACTGCAATTGGAACCAATTCCAAATGCGAGAACTTTGGCATTGTTCCTATTAAATCTTCGTGTGTCTATGGGGCTGTGTTTTCTAATATACTCGGAACCATAGACTTTCGGAACTAATACGAACCCCGTTATCAAATCGGTGTTGCATATACAGAAGGATCGGACGTGGCTCGGTGTCTATTTCACGCAACGTGCCCGGCTCAGACACGGTCCGGTGTACTGTGAATCATCCTTTATCGAGAAGGTGAACTAATTCTTGAAGAACTTTTTACGTAGAATACAGTGGCGTAGTCTGTTTTCTATGAAAAAAATATTTTGGAAATATGAGCTAAAGTTATGTGTTTTCAAATGGAACACCCTGTATATTTATAAATAATACGATCCGTCGTGCTACGAGCTTCTCAAAAATATTATAACACTATATATTTATTTTCATTATTTACTGCAATATTTAAAGGATATAATTTTCTTATTATAGTAGGCCGTGATAGATAACAAAAAAATCAAAATGGTATTTATTACAGTTGGGGGTTGGGGGTTGGAACCTTTGATGTTACACAGCAAAATAAAAACAATAAATTACCACAATACACCAAAACACTTTTACTTTTACACTGGACGCACGTTTCGCTAACAATGTTAGCATCATAGACTTAGAATAAGTTAGCATCATCAGCAGATGATCAGTTTTTGATGGACTGATCGGCTGATGATGCTAACATTGTTAGCGAAACGCGCGTCCAGTGTAAAAGTAAAACTGTTTTGGTGTATTGTGGTAATTTAGTGTTTTTAAAATAGTATTTACTAAAACAGTCATATACGGAAGATGCTCTAAATATCCAAAGCTGCTTATTCAAAGACGTCTTAAAATTCTAAATTCGAAGAATTCTCCACTAATTTAAATGGAACACTTTGAATTTTGTATCATTATCGAACGAGTTTTTGTTTAATCTTTTTGTTTTATTAAACACTTCCTATACCTGAAAATATAAGACAAGATATAACATTCGCTCTTTAAAAAGTAGGCGTTTATAGTGTTATAATACCTGTCTACAAGAAAGTAGAAAAATCTACAAAACCAACACAATTTTTTTTATCAAATTGATATCTATTTTTAATATTCTTAATTTATCTTTATTCCATTACGTGTTCTAGTGGATATTATTAACTATACAAACTAAACTTTTAAAATGTGAAGGAAAATTTAGATTTATATATTATTTATAGGCCCGAAACCGATGTAAGGGTCATCGTAGTGACAGATGGAGAACGTATTTTGGGACTCGGTGATTTAGGAGCATGTGGTATGGGCATTCCTGTTGGAAAACTGTCGTTATATACCGCATTAGCTGGCATTAAGCCACACCAATGTTTACCAATAACTATTGATGTAGGAACCAATAACGAACAATTTTTGAAGGATCCGTTGTATATTGGCTTAAAACAAAATAGAGTAAGAGGTTAGTGTTCTTTAATTTCTGTACATATTAGAATACGGGAATATCTACCATATAAACAGATATAAAGATATTGTGTAATGAAAATATTAGATTAAAACATATTTTATGTTTTATTTTTAATTTTGATTGACAATGATTAAATCTATATTTTTAGAAGTAGCTTTATTGAGAGTATATACTTAATTCAGAAAAATCAGAACAAAATACATATAACCAACAATTACCTAATATAAATTACACAGGCCGACATGATTTTTGTAACACGAGTCAGTTGCAGAATTTCTTCATAAAAATATGCTTCTAATAACAGAAAAAATACTCCTGAAGCTCCTACACGTACCACTTTTCAGTTGCCTAATTACGCCTCTTTTTTGCAGGTAGTCAATTTTATAGATGTCAGGTATTAAGTCTAGGTAGATTCGTTTACATACAGGTAAATTTTATGATGGGATGATTGAAAGGGACGCATTTTGTGCACTATAATATATTGTGAAAAACATAAGAGAGTTCAGTTTTCAGTTGATTTTCGACGTGAGTTGTTCTATGCGTGTAGATAAATAGTACGAAAATGTCAAGTCAAACGCGCCGCAGTTGTAAAGTGTCTCCTGATCGATTTTGTTACATTTGTGGAGAATTTATGGTGCAATCACAAGCCAGACCATTTTCTGAAAATGTGAAGAAAGCCTACTTCAAGTATTTTGGAGTTTTGGTTGGAGATCAAGACAAGCAGTGGGCTCCTCATGTGTGCTGCGTTACTTGTAGCGTGTCGCTTGTGCAGTGGATGAAAGGGAAGAGGAAAAAAATGCCATTTGCGGTTCCAATGGTATGGCGAGAACCAACTAACCATTTTGACGATTGCTATTTTTGCCTGACGAAAACTGAAGGTTTTTCCAAAAAACAAAAGCACAAGATCGAGTATCCCAATTTGCCGTCTGCCATACGACCTGTTCTTCATAATGCAGATCTCCCAGTGCCGATCGCGCCCTTAGACTGGCAAGGTATTGTTTTGGAAGATAAGGAAGATATTGAATCAAACAGCTCTGGAGACCAGTGTACTGATCCTACCTTTACCCCAGAGGGCGGTTCCGACAAGCCACATTTGATTGTTCAAAGCGAGTTGAATGACTTAGTGCGTGACTTGGGGTTATCAAAGCAGCAGTCAGAACTTCTTGGATCCCGGCTTAAGGAATGGAATCTGTTAGCCAATGAAACAAAAATCACCACTTTTAGAAAAAGAAAAGCTCCGTTCTCTGCATTCTACAGTATGGAGGATTCGTTGTGTGCATGTACTGATATCGATGGCTTAATGCAGGAACTTTCTATAGAACATTCTCCCTGTGAGTGGCGCTTATTCATAGATTCGTCGAAATATAGCCTAAAAGCTGTGTTATTGCATAACGGAAATTTAAAACCCTCTATACCAGTTGCCCATTCAGTGACAATGAAGGAAACTTATGAAAATATGCGCATGCTTTTAGATAGAATCAACTACAACAGGTATAAATGGCAGATATGTGGGGACTTGAAAGTTATAGGAATTTTAGTGGGACTTCAGGGAGGATTTACAAAATATTGCTGTTTTCTTTGTTTGTGGGACAGTCGTGCAGTAAATCATCATTATGTACAGAAAATTTGGCCAGAAAGAAGTGAATTTCAACCGGGTTCCCAAAATGTCAAGTATATCCCTCTTGTAGACCCCAAAGACGTCCTCCTGCCTCCTCTTCATATCAAACTTGGCCTCATGAAAAACTTCGTGAAAGCTATGAATAAAGAAGGTGATGGATTTAAATACCTAAGGCAAGTCTTTCCCCAGTTGAGTGATGCCAAATTGAAAGAGGGTATTTTTATTGGACCACAAATCAGGAAATTGTTGGACGACACAAATTTCACAGAACACGCTTACCAGGCAGGAACTCAGAGCATGGACCTCATTTGTTAGTGTAGTGAGGGGATTTTTGGGAAACAATAAGGATGCGAACTACGAACAATTGGTTAATGAGCTTTTAGATGCTTATAAATCGCTTGGTGCCCGAATGTCTTTAAAAATTCACTTTCTCCATTCTCATTTGTCATTTTCCCTGAAAATATGGGTGCTGTCAGTGATGAGCAAGGTGAGAGATTCCATCAAGACATAAGGACAATGGAAATTCGTTATCAAGGACGATGGGATCCAGCCATGATGGGTGATTACTGTTGGTTTTGAAGAGAAGACGCGGTCCCTCATAAAAGGAAAAAGTAAAAGTTTTTGTTTATGTTTTGATCTCGTTTCGATTGTTTTTGTACTTTTTAGGTATAAGTAATGTTTGAGGAGTGTAAACTATAAAATATAATCGGTATATAGGCTTAAGAAGTTCTTAAATCATGTTTTGAATAGCTATCTTAATATATTGAATATTGTAATATTGAATGATGTTTTATTAATGTAACAAAAAAACCTTACGTGTTACGACTTTTTTTTTTGCCACTTTCGTGATTAGATAGGTTCATTCTACCACAATATCCTATTGAGCTTTGTGTTACATCGAAAAAATTTTTTTTTGTCGGCCTGTGTTATTATTAAAAGATGAAATTCAAACAGAATAAACGCTCTGTTTAGTAAGTAGATAGTACATCGACGCAGCTCCTTAATGTTTTACGCAAGTTTTACGTTTTACAGGATATTTTATAAAAATGCCGCAAATATTTAAGGGGTTTATTTATTTAATAGTTTTAATTGCTTTTTTGATCTTCGATTATTCAAGAAAGACGGCTTTATATTTTGAAGCAACAAAGTAATAAAATAGTTCACTTATATTTTTTTTATATAATAAGAGACATACAGATAGTGTTAAAAATAAACAACTAAAAATGGGGGACTATTATTACTTTGACTTCTATTAAAATAAATTGTTGTTTATTGTCGCAGTGACCTATTACGAACATTAAGAACCAAGAATAGAAATTCTTCAAAAAAAATATATTTTTTTCATTTAAATAGGACATAAAAATTAAATCAAATATATTTTTTAATTAAATAATTTCACAAAATCAAAAAGAAAATCGTGCAAAAATTAGTTATTGGTATTTGATTGACATCGCATGATTGAAATGTTCCCGAGGAGTAATAAACAAATTGTGTTGTTTTTATTCAAGATTTAACGCGTATTAGGAATTAGGTACTAAAAATGTAATAGAATATAGACTGTCAAATATCACAGATACGTAATATTCTTTTGTAAATTGTTAATCCACCGGGTGCGTCTCAAAAGTGGCTGAACCCTATAACTTTTTTATTTTTTTAGATAAAGAAACGAGATTTGGTATGTTAGTATATGACATAAATTAGGATTAATTGACGTATTCCATTGTTTTTGGCCACTTCCTGTTTCACCGGAAATGTCTACAACTTTTGATTTTTAAATTACATCCCCGGTATATTTTTACTTTAGTTGATAGAAAATGTATGACACTCTGAATAGAATGGCATATCATATGTCAACTTTAGACATTTTAGCTTAAAAAATGAATCTAGAGTGTTTTTAAAACACTAATGTTTAATCAACGAGCCTGTGAAAAATAGATTTGATCGTCTAATGTTTTTCGTGTCCTTTCCTGGCCGGTTAAAAGGTAAATCGCCTAAATCATATTTTTAATCATACCTCGATTTTTTCAAATTGAACAAGGGAACGAGGGTGGCTTATTAGCATATTTGGAAAAAGCATTTTTTTTCGAATAATTTGATACCACACATTTGGTATTTCGAGTCAAATTTTCGTTACGAACCGCAAGTAATAATTTCGAATAAACCATATGCGAAAATGTCAAAAGTTGACTTATGATATGTCATTCTATTCAGAGTGTTATTTTCTATTAGAGTGCTATTTTAAAACCAAAAATTGTAGTCATTTCCGGTGAAACAGTAGTCATTTCCGGTGAAACATCTCGTTTTTTTACCTGAAAAATAAAAAAAATTATAGGGGTGAGCGACTTTTAAGAAACACAAGAGGTATACAAAAATATTAATATTAAAGCAACTTCACTAATACTCGTTAGAATAGTCTATGTACAGGGTGGGTCAAATTCGACGCTTTTAAGGGAAACACCCTTTCCTATAGGAAATAGAAGAAAACTAATATCGGTGTCTGGAGCTCCATTTTCCAAACCCCACCAAACCAAAAACATTTTCAAAGCACTTTTTTACGTAGAATTTAACGGTTTAAGTATAATTTTTTTTAAATTAATAATTTAAGAGTTATCAACAGAAAAATTGATTTTTTATTTAGGACACCCTGTATATTTTTAATTAAATGGAAAGAACTTAAAATTACCTTTCCAAAAATATAGCACACTTGATATCTTGTTATGGTCCCCTTCAAAATACAGAATTTTTAAAAGTTCACCACTTTTAACTAGTGGGCTTTGGACCCCTTATTGATGATCTGCCCCTAATAGAACTCGAAAACATATTTTTCCAGCAAGACGAGGCACCAGCTGAGGCAGGAAGCTGAATTTATCAGCAAATTTTTGCAACAAATTTCGAGAATAATTGAATAGCAAACCAAGATCTCAGCCGTTGGCCTTCGAAGCCGCCGGTCTTAGTGCTTATGAATTTTTATCTTTGCGGAAGAATAAAAGTTCTTATTTTTAAATTACCCGTATAATCTAGACAAGAAATAGAAGTACTAAGTGGTTATGCAAGGGTATTTTTCACACCCACTGAGTTAATGAATTCCGATATTAGTTTTCGTCTGTATCCTATAGAAAAGGGTGTTTCCCTTTAAAAGCGTCCAATTTGACCCACCCTGTACAAAACACTGTTGAATAAATTTTAATTTTTTTTTGTATTTATAAATCAATAAACGAAATTAACAATTAAACTATAAACTTAACTTTTCGAAACGCTTCTACGAAAAATATTATATCAAATCAATATTTTAGGTCAAGAATATGACGACTTTCTGGACGAATTTATGGAAGCTGTAGTCCAACGTTTCGGGCAAAACTGTCTTATTCAGTTCGAAGACTTTGGTAATGCTAACGCTTTCCGTTTATTAGAAAAATACAGAAATTTGTATTGCACCTTTAACGATGACATCCAGGTAAATTTATAACAAACTCTTTCGCTTTTCAGCAGCTATTTTACATATTCATAACAAACAATTTCATTAATTTTGTAGGGAACTGCTAGTGTCGCAGTGGCAGGTCTTCTGGCATCGCTAAAACTAACAAAGAAAAGACTGAGCGACAACGTAATAGTTTTTCAAGGAGCTGGGGAAGCTAATCTTGGTATTGCTCAGTTATGTACAATGGCAATGGTAGCTGAAGGTAACTTTTTTATATTTTGAAATATAAATAACATGTTTTCATTAAAAAAAAAACAATAACTTGAATACCAATCGATCGATAAACTTATCATTAAATACAATATGATGAAAAAAAAAACGGCTTCAGGATGTCTATGAAATGAAAATCGCTGTCATTTCATATGTAAAATTATATGGGAAATGTCATCGATCGGCATTATTTATAAACCAACTGGACGCCGTTTTTTTTCGATCATATGGCAATTATGGTCATATGAAAGAACGTGCCACACAGTATATCCATATCACTAAGTAATTGAATTTATTATTTAAATCTCTCTCTTTCTTCGTATAGAGTGTTTTTTAACCGGCTGGTTTATTTAATCGTAATCATTTTATTGTTACGTTTTTCGTCGTTTCCGTGTGGATAAAAAGTCTAATTTATTTAAACACAATTTCTTTTACACTAAGTAACAAAACAATAACGATAAAACACTTAAAGAACTATTTACAAACTTATTTACTGCTATTTATTTAAAAAGGGATTTATTTTAATTTATTTAAAAAGGCGCGAACACGACTACCGATTGTTTCTGTCTTTGCACAGGCCTCGGTTTATACAGGGTGGCGCACCTCATTCGCCTCGGTTGATTATACGCAAACGGAAAGATGTAGAAACAAAATATTTTATGGGTATATGTGGGGAGACAATGTGCACAGTTTAAAATTATTTAGAAATATACAGGGTATTTCAGAACTAAGATCCATACCAAAGTTATATTTTTTCTTATGGAACACCCGGTATTTTATTTCATTTTTGGATTCTTGGGCCCAAAGAAAAGTATTTATTATAAGGGTTAAATGTGTCTAAAATCTTTGGTTTTTGAGATATTTAAATTTGCATGCTAGAATATAATATCAAAGCAAACCTTTGAAGGAGGGTAAAAGGACAATAACTCACAATCTTTAAGTTGTTTAATTTAAAAAATTTTACTCCTTAAAAAAGCAAGGGGGGGCGGCATGTTTCGGGAATTTAAAATATTCCCATCTTCAGGCCCAAAGACAAAAGTCACTTAGGAAGTACAACCACTCAGAATCAATAAAACCAATTAGAGAACGTTTAGTACAATATAATAGATTATTAACACCCTGTACATTACTTTTCAGAATTAATTCTTATGCTGAGTTTAAAGGTAGATAAATAAACTTTATTGAAAAATGGTATTGCTTCCTTAAATTTATACAGGGCTATCAAAAGTTGCTGATCTATTTTAAGGATATATCATAGTTTAAGGAAAAGAGTAGTTGCACTCTCGCAAATATTTTCTGCCAGTTTTTGCAAGCTGTCGAATATCGGTAGGTTGCAAAGCGTTTCAGTTGAAGTCCGTCGAGCTGCGAGGTTCGAGCGTTGCGTTCCAGCACAGAGACGGATTGATAAAAAATGAGTGCATTATTGTGTTTATATATAGCAGCCCTTTTATCCTATTTTTGGATTAAAAACTTGTCCGCTACTGTCCGGTTGGAATGTCCCTCTAAACTGCTTCCATTCTTGCAGAGGAATAGTGTGTGTTTGTTGAAAATAGTCTATATATGTATATATATATATATATATATATACATATATATATATATATATATATATATATATATATATATATATATATATATATATATATATATATATATATATATATATATATATATATATATATATATATATAAAAAAGATAATTCAATCAGTTTTTTAGACACCATAATCTATAATACCCAGGGAACTCTGAAAACTATGTGGTACACTAAAAAAACATGGTCCTCCAGATATCTGAACTATAATTCAAACCACCCAAAAAAACAAAAAAAATCAGTTATCATAGGTCTCGCTGATAGAGCGATATCATTATCTGACCCGGAATACAGGGAAAATGCAATAAAAAAAGCAAAAGATGCACTAATTTTAAATAATTACCCCACTCAGCTTATAAACAAAACATTTAAACAAAGAATTCACAAATATTATAATTCTGATACAAAAAATAAACAAAAAATTCTTACCAATACCATATATAGAAGGCTTATCCCATCAACTAAAAGGTCTATTTAAAACAGATAATATTGAAGTGTGTCACAAAGGCTTTAATTTATTATCGGAATGTTACACAAAATTAAAATCAAATACTTCTAAAAACAATAAGAGCAACATAGTGTACCAAATTCCTTGTAATAATTGTGACGCTGTATATATAGGTCAGACAGGCCAATATCTGGAAAATCGTCTAAAGGGTCATAAATATGACAAAAAAAACATTACAGCACTTGTTACTCACGAAAAAAATAATAATCACACCTTTGATTACAATAAAACAAGAATTTTAAACACCGAAATTAATTTGAAAAAACGAGAATTCCTTGAAATGATTCAGATACAAAAAAACAAAAATGCAATTAACGAAAAAAAAGATGTCGATAAGCTAAGTAGAATATACACACCAATCTTGTAAATAGAAACGCTTCAGTACAGAAAATACATTGAGCCGGCCATCACAATTTATTAAGATTTTAAACTGTATATTTTAATTATTGTGTCATGTGGGTGATATTGTATGAGTATAATTTTAAGTTAAATGTTATGTGTTATCACCTGTTATTTTATGCACCCATGTTTTAATACAAGTTTGACGAAGGAAATGTACGTTTTGTGGTAAGTTTTATTTATATTTTTTTTTACACAGTTATAGTTTGATAATATCGTATTGTAGGCTTTGAAAAAGGTTAAAACTGGACCGAAACGTTAGTTATATAATAAACACTTCCTAAACTCTGAAAAAGTTTAATATTGACCAAAAGCCAAGAACCCTATAAATAAAAAACATATTAGATTGGTCAAAGAAAAGTTAATTAAAAAAAAAAAATATATATATATATATATATATATATATATATATATATATATATATATATATATATATATATATATATATATATATATATATATATATAAATAAATAATAATATATATATAAAATGAACAAAATTCTTACAGCTTTAGTGTATATTAATAAATAATATTTTCTTGCCTTTAGCTGTGTATTTTTTCTAATTTCGAAAAATCGAAAGTAATGAAAAAATTAAAAAAAATAAAAATAAAAAGTAAGAAGATGATTGTTTTGCTTGTCGTAAAGGGGGGAACCAAGCTCCACTCCCACAACCGGTTTCTGGGCCTACCCTTCATCAGGTGGGCTGTCCAGGGGCTGGTTCTCACCGATACGGCAAGCAAAACTTCTTCTATATCAACAGACGATGTCGTAAAGTGTCGGTGAGATATTAGTGCATCTCCCGTCAAAAGATGGTAAAGAGCGTTTTCGGCCCGCTCAAATATATGAAATGAACAAAATTCTTACAGCTTTAGTGTATATTAATAAATAATATTTTCTTGCCTTTAGCTGTGTATTTTTTCTAATTTCGAAAAATCGAAAGTAGAGAAAAAATTAAAAAAAATAAAAAGTAAGAAGAAAATTGTTTTGCTTGTCGTAAAGGGGGGAACCAAGCTCCGCTCCCACAACCGGTTTCTTGCTTACCCTTCATCAGGTGGGCTGTCCAGGGGCTGGTTCTCACCGATACGGCAAGCAAAACTTCTTCTATATCAACAGACGATGTCGTAAAGTGTCGGTGAGATATTAGTGCATCTCCCGTCAAAAGATGGTAAAGAGCGTTTTTCGGCCCGCTCAAATATATGAAATGAACAAAATTCTTACAGCTTTAGTGTATATTAATAAATAATATTTTCTTGCCTTTAGCTGTGTATTTTTTCTAATTTCGCAAAATCGAAAGTAGAGAAAAAATTAAAAAAAATAAAAAGTAAAAAGAAAATTGTTTTGCTTGTCGTAAAGGGGGGAACCAAGCTCCACTCCCACAACCGGTTTCTGGGCCTACCCTTCATCAGGTGGGCTGTCCCAGGGGCTGGCTCTCACCGATACGGCAAGCAAAACTTCTTCTAATCAACAGACGATGTCGTAAACTGTCGGTGAGATATTAATGCATCTCCCGTCAAAAGATGGCAAAGAGCGTTTTTCGGCCCGCTTAAATATATGAAATGAACAAAATTCTTACAGCTTTAGTGTATATTAATAAATAATATTTTCTTGCCTTTAGCTGTGTATTTTTTCTAATTTCGAAAAATCGAAAGTAGAGAAAAAATTTAAAAAAAATAAAAAGTAAAAAGAAAATTGTTTTGCTTGTCGTAAAGGGGGGAACCAAGCTCCACTCCCACAACCGGTTTCTGGGCCTACCCTTCATCAGGTGGGCTGTCCAGGGGCTGGTTCTCACCGATACGGCAAGCAAAACTTCTTCTATATCAACAGACGATGTCGTAAACTGTCGGTGAGATATTAATGCATCTCCCGTCAAAAGATGGTAAAGAGCGTTTTTCGGCCCGCTCAAATATATGAAATGAACAAAATTCTTACAGCTTTAGTGTATATTAATAAATAATATTTTCTTGCCTTTAGCTGTGTATTTTTTCTAATTTCGAAAAATCGAAAGTAGAGAAAAAATTTAAAAAAATAAAAAGTAAGAAGAAAATTGTTTTGCTTGTCGTAAAGGGGGGAACCAAGCTCCACTCCCACAACCGGTTTCTGGGCCTACCCTTCATCAGGTGGGCTGTCCAGGGGCTGGTTCTCACCGATACTGCAAGCAAAACTTCTTCTATATCAACAGACGATGTCGTAAAGTGTCGGTGAGATATTAGTGCATCTCCCGTCAAAAGATGGTAAAGAGCGTTTTTCGGCCCGCTCAAATATATGAAATGAACAAAATTCTTACAGCTTTAGTGTATATTAATAAATAATATTTTCTTGCCTTTAGCTGTGTATTTTTCTAATTTCGAAAAATCGAAAGTAGAGAAAAATTTAAAAAAAATAAAAAGTAGAAGAGAAAATTGTTTTGCTTGTCGTAAAGGGGGGAACCAAGCTCCACTCCCACAACCGGTTTCTGGGCCTACCCTTCATCAGGTGGGCTGTCCAGGGGCTGGTTCTCACCGATACGGCAAGCAAAACTTCTTCTATCAACAGACGATGTCGTAAAGTGTCGGTGAGATATTGGTGCATCTCCCGTCAAAGATGGTAAAGAGCGTTTTCGGCCCGCTCAAATATATGAAATGAACAAAATTCTTACAGCTTTAGTGTATATTAATAAATAATATTTTCTTGCCTTTAGCTGTGTATTTTTTCTAATTTCGAAAAAATCGAAAGTAGAGAAAAATTTAAAAATAAAAAGTAAGAAGAAAATTGTTTTGCTTGTCGTAGGGGAACCAAGCTCCACTCCCACAACCGGTTTCTGGGCCTACCCTTCATCAGGTGGGCTGTCCAGGGCTGGTTCTCACCGATACTGCAAGCAAAACTTCTTCTATATCAACAGACGATGTCGTAAAGTGTCGGTGAGATATTAGTGCATCTCCCGTCAAAAGATGGTAAAGAGCGTTTTTCGGCCCGCTCAAATATATGAAATGAACAAAAATCTTACAGCTTTAGTGTATATTAATAAATAATATTTTCTTGCCTTTAGCTGTGTATTTTTTCTAATTTCGAAAAATCGAAAGTAGAGAAAAAATTAAAAAATAAAAGTAAGAAGAAAATTGTTTTGCTTGTCGTAAAGGGGGAACCAAGCTCCACTCCCACAACCGGTTTCTGGGCCTACCCTTCATCAGGTGGGCTGTCCAGGGGCTGGTTCTCACCGATACTGCAAGCAAAACTTCTTCTATATCAACAGACGATGTCGTAAAGTGTCGGTGAGATATTAGTGCATCTCCCGTCAAAAGATGGTAAAGAGCGTTTTTCGGCCCGCTCAAATATATGAAATGAACAAAATTCTTACAGCTTTAGTGTATATTAATAAATAATATTTTCTTGCCTTGAGCTGTGTATTTTTTCTAATTTCGAAAAATCGAAAGTAGAGAAAAAATTAAAAAAAATAAAAATAAAAAGTAAGAAGATGATTGTTTTGCTTGTCGTAAAGGGGGGAACCAAGCTCCACTCCCACAACCGGTTTCTGGGCTTACCCTTCATCAGGTGGGCTGTCCAGGGGCTGGTTCTCACCGATACGGCAAGCAAAACTTCTTCTATATCAACAGACGATGTCGTAAAGTGTCGGTGAGATATTAGTGCATCTCCCGTCAAAAGATGGTAAAGAGCGTTTTTCGGCCCGCTCAAATATATGAAATGAACAAAATTCTTACAGCTTTAGTGTATATTAATAAATAATATTTTCTTGCCTTTAGCTGTGTATTTTTTCTAATTTCGAAAAATCGAAAGTAGAGAAAAATTAAAAAAATAAAAGTAAGAAGAAAATTGTTTTGCTTGTCGTAAAGGGGGAACCAAGCTCCACTCCCACAACCGGTTTCTGGGCCTACCCTTCATCAGGTGGGCTGTCCAGGGGCTGGTTCTCACCGATACGGCAAGCAAAACTTCTTCTATATCAGCAGACGATGTCGTAAAGTGTCGGTGAGATATTAGTGCATCTCCCGTCAAAAGATGGTAAAGAGCGTTTTTCGGCCCGCTCAAATATATGAAATGAACAAAAATCTTACAGCTTTAGTGTATATTAATAAATAATATTTTCTTGCCTTTAGCTGTGTATTTTTTCTAATTTCGAAAAATCGAAAGTAGAGAAAAAATTAAAAAAAATAAAAAGAAGAAAATTGTTTTGCTTGTCGTAAAGGGGGGAACCAAGCTCCACTCCCACAACCGGTTTCTGGGCCTACCCTTCATCAGGTGGGCTGTCCAGGGGCTGGTTCTCACCGATACGGCAAGCAAAACTTCTTCTATATCAACAGACGATGTCGTAAAGTGTCGGTGAGATATTAGTGCATCTCCCGTTTTTTCTCTACTTTCGATTTTTCGAAACACCTTAAATATACAGCTTAAAAACACCTTAAATATACAGGGTGGCCCATTAGTGCGAGGAAGTCCAATATCGTCGTCGTTGTCCAAGATGTGAAAAAAGTTTTATTCATATGTTTCAAGGTTTATAAAGGGGCGTAAAGTTATATTCACTCTAGTTTTTTACTACCTTTCGTATATAATGTTTTTAACCAAAGTTTTAATAAATAAGAAATAGAATGGCCACACCGCAGTGTGCTTTAAATAAAGACGGTGTACTATATCCAGAATTTTATGCCGAATCCAGTTATGTACAGAAAATAAAACTTGTTTTAAATCAAAAAAAAGTTGTAGAAAATCTCTGAAATAGATAATAATATAAAAATATGTCATTATATATTTTTTCCGCATTTCTTCCAATCAGAAGATTTTCAGATACAGAAGAATTTTTACCTACGCGAAATGTGAAAATATTCTGTTTTCAAGCAAGTTTTTACTCATGATGATCAATTTTTTTATTTTATTTTATTGTGAACTCATATTTTCCTAAATACATATCTGTGAAACTATGGCGAGTGCCACGACTATACTTTGCCTAGTTAATAGACCACGACTATACCGCTACGTCAGTGGTCACGGGAGGCACAAGGTCATATAAAGTGGCAGAAAAAGAACAAAGGATTTGACAAGGAGTAAAACTACTAGTTTCCTTATACTATGGATATATTTTATACAAAAACTTCGTTATTTCAAATGCAACACCCTGTATTTTTTAAAATAAGTCGAAGCAGATTCAAATACTCTTTCAAACTATATTAGGGTTTCCTATACCTATCTAGCGGAGATTTTGAATAAAAAGCGATTTTTAAATAAAATTGCAATCAAGATGGCTGGTGTCGCCATGGCAATTTTCTAGTGACAGTTAGTAACTATTTTCAAAGTCGACATTAGTTTATAGACATTATTATTTATAATTTATAACAGTTTACTTTAACTTACCTACAATAGTTTAATAAGTAAGTATTCATTATTTTACTTAGAAAAATAAAGCAGTATCTGCTGGCGGAACAAATAGATGTGTTCTAGTGATTTTATTTTGTCAGGAAAAATGCTTCTTGGCCTCAAGGGCTTATGGTCAAAGATTCCCAAATAGAAATCTTCCTGATAAGCGTTCCTTTGAAAAAGTACTTGTCCTATTTCGCAGAGCTGGTAGTGTGGTTTATAAAAAAACTATTAGGCAGAAACCTGTCGTTGGAAGTGAAGAAAATGAATTTGTCTTAATTGGCTCTTTTATAGAAAATCCATATATCTACAAGTTATCGTAAAATAAATCAAAGCACTACTTCTTCGTTTTCCTTAATAAATATTATTTATTAAACTCTTGTAGCAAAATTAAATAAAAATAAACTGGTATCAATTTAAATAAGTCCATAAACTAAATTCGATTTTGAAAATAGCTACTAACTGTCACTAGAAACTTGCCATGACGACACTAGCCCTCTTGGTTGCCATTTCATTGAAAAATTGCTCTTTATTCAAAATCTGAGCTATATCGGTATAGGAAACCCTAATATAGTTTGAAAAAGCATTTTAATCTTCTTCGATTTATTTAAAAAAATACAGGATGTTGTATTTGAAATAACAAAGTTTTTATGTAAAATAAATTCTTAAAATAAATCAGTAATTTTTGATACCCCTGTATAAACTTAAGAAACCAATAACATTTTTCTGTAAAGTGTATTTCCCTACCTTTAAACTCAGCATAAGAATTAATTCTGAAAAGTAATGTACAGGGTGTTAATAATCTATTCTATTGTAGCATGCAAATTTAAATAACTTTAAATATCTCAAAATCCAAAGATTTTAAACATAGAAAGTATAGAATAGTTCTCCATAGTTCTGAAACACCCTGTACATTTCAAAATAATTTTAAATTGTGCACATTGTCTCCCCACATATACTCACGCCTCCCTGTATACACAAAGACAGAGAGACTAAAATATTCCGGCCTTTTCTTAGCCGCTGTTCCTTGTCTTTCTGGTGAATTCGCAAGGTCACAATGGGGGCGGGGCATATTAGTCCGAGGGCTGAGTCCGCAATACCTGCTCCCTTCATATATAAAACTGCAACTTTTCCCGCGGTATAATTTCTTTATCTCTGATATTACATGGTTACAGCTTTACTCTCTGGCTACAACACTAAAAGGGATGCAAATACAGAAAAAAAATCCGGCGTCTCTCAATTTTTTATAATATTTCTCTTACAGTTAGTAAATGAAAACGTTATTATCCGCTATTATAAATATACCTATAGGATGTTTAAAATCAGTCTTTTAGTAATATAGCATCGGTTGTTAATTATATAGAAATTTAAGGTTTTGTACAATAATTATACATTATATTATGATTTTAGGCACATCGGAGGCTGATGCTCGTAGCAAAATTTGGATGGTTGATTCGAAAGGACTAATTGTAAAAGATCGACCAGAGGGTGGCATTACCGGACACAAGGCCCACTATGCCCAGAATCACGCCCCAATTAGGACCTTAACTGAAGTCGTTAAACAAGTTAAACCCTCTATTCTTATTGGGGCCGCCGCTATCGGAGGAGCTTTCACGGAAGAAATTCTTTTGGAGATGGCCAAGAACAACAAACAACCGGTTATTTTTGCTCTGAGTAATCCAACTCACAAAGCAGAATGCACTGCAGAAGAGGCTTACAAAGCCACAAATGTAAGTATGATCCCCTACGTACATATTAAATGATAGTGATATTCATTTCATAGCCATCGCTGACGCCGTTTTTTCTAATATATAAAATTGTCGTGTCACAGTTTTAGTTACCTCCCCCGAAACGATTTTGATGAAGTTTTATATGTATATTCAGTAGGTCTGAGAATAGGTTGTTATCTATTTTTTATAACCCTAAGTAATAAGGGTGGTCCACCCCAATTTTTTAGATAAGTTTTTATGATGTGGCATTAAAAAATACATGCAACCCTCAATTTTTACCCTTCTACCATCAACCCCTATTTTAATAGCGATATTAGTAATTCAATAATTTTCAACCCCGTGAAAAAAATTACTGTGTATGATTGTAGTTCCATAAAAAATATGTATATGGCAAAACAACATTTGCTGGGTCAGCTAGTAATGTATAAAAGATAATTAACTTTGTAATGTATCAAAATACGTGAGAGGTTACAAAGTTAGGGTAATATTTATTATTTTAAGTAAATATTGTTTATAAATACAGATAATACGAGACTTTATTATATTATATATTTGGCTCGCGTAAATTGATCATATTTTATAGAAAATTGAGTCATAATAATTATTTTTACATGAAGGGTGTGGTAGGATGAGAATATTCGAAGAGCGACAAGAAAACTCAATAATACCGTATGATCGAAAAAAAAACGGCGTCAGCGATGGCTATAAAATGAAGATCGCTATCATTTTATATGCCAATTTATATGGGAATCTCAGCCAACTGGACGCCGCTTTTTTTTTCGATCATATAGTGTCTTTGTTATATTGTGGCATTTTAATAATAATACTTACTGAAATAGTGTAAAAAATTCGAATTATTATTATTTTAAAACATTGTCATGTATAAAATAATTAAATAAATCAGTAAAAAGCTCATAAATACCGTATGAGGGTAAAAACGACGTCCAGTTGGCATGGAAATGACGTTCGATGACATTCCCCATATAATTTTACATATAAAATGACATCAATCCTCATTTCATAGTCATCACTGACGCCTTTTTTTTCGATCAAATTGTAAAACTAATGCGCATTAATACAATAATAATATTAAACTTTTTTTTATCTAGGGTACCTGCGTATTTGCAAGTGGCAGTCCTTTCGATCCAGTGACAATTAATGGAAAAACTTTGGTGCCCGGTCAAGGAAATAACGCATACATCTTCCCTGGTGTAGGGCTGGGCGCTATATGTGCAGGAATTAAAAACATCAGCGAAGAACATTTCCTTATGGCTGCAGAAGTAAGTCATATATCTGCAAAGATTATCTCGAAGACATAGTATCAGAAAAATTGACTGTCTTTTGTTTGAAAAATTGTTTTGTTTCAAACGTCACAAAAGCAGGTTCAACGAGTTAATTAATAGCCTTGTATATAAACAAGGTTAATAGGTTCGTTCCAACCAGACCGAGAACCGATCCTGGGACGGTAATTTCTAGTCGCCCACTTATTGTTTGAAAAGTTTGATCGTTTGTCAAGATTAACAAATGAATTGACTGATAGGAAATTACCGTTCTAGGACGGTTCTCTCATCCGGTTGGAACAAACATATAGTTTCTCGATATACCGGGTGCGTCTCAAAAGTGGCTGACCCCTATAATTTTTTTACTTTTTCACATAAAAAAACTAGATTTGGTATGTTAGTATATGACATAAATTAGAATTGATTGACGTAGGTATTTAATTTATTATGTTTTTCGTTATTATTATGTTTTTCGTTATTTCCGGTTTCACAGAAATGACTACAACTATTGATTTTCTCATATGGTTTATTTGAAAATGTAACATGCGGTTTATCAAAAATTTGACTCGAAATACGAAGTGTTTGGTACCAAATTATTCTTAAAAAAATACTTTGTTCCCCTTGTTCCATTTGAAAAAATTGAGATATGATTAAAAATACGATTTGGGCATCTTTTAACCGGCCAGGACAAGACAAGAAAAACATTAGACGACCAAATCTGTTTTTCCAAGGCTCCTTGATTAAAAATTAGTGTTTTTAAGACAGCCATGGCACTCTAGATTGAAATTTAAAATACGATTTTTTTAAAACGAAAATGTCAAAAGTTGACATGTGTATGTCATTCTACTCAGAATGTCATTTTCTATCGAATAAAGTAAAAAAATACCAAAAACAATTGAATAAGTCAATCAATCCAAATTTATGTAATATTCTAATATACAAAATCTCGTTTTTTTTTATCTAAAAAACTAAAAAAGTTTTAGGGGTGAGCCACTTTTGAGACGCACCCGGTATAATTATTTACAAGGTGTTACTTTAAAATCTTTTTATATTATTTGCAACGTTTGCAATTGTTTAAAAATTATTTTGTGCCTCACATGTAATGTCAAATGACTCGGTACAAAAAAGTATCATTTTTATTTCTAACAAAACAAGATATGTACTATTTTATGTTGTTAATATTAGCTTTAGAAATGTTCAAATTGATAACTAACTGGGTTTTAAAGGCCGTTTAGACCCTCATATAATTTGCGCAAACTGCATAATAACGAAATCAACAAACGTTGTATAAGAGCAATTATTGATATTAAAACAACCAAATCTTTCTAAATTTTAGGCAGTAGCAAGTATGGTAACTCAAGCAGATCTGGACCAAGGAAGCATTTATCCACCTCTATCGAAAATTACTGAATGTTCTGTACGAATTGCCACCAAACTTTTGGAATATGCATATGCTAAAGGTGAGTCAAAACTAAATTTATATATCCTAAGATCTTATTTTAAACTTCTCAATTTGTAGGAAATGCATCAGTATTTCCTGAACCAGAAGATAAAGAATCATTCGTGAGGGCACAGATGTACAACACTGACTACGTTCCCGCAATACCCAATCTATATTCATTCCCAAAATTGTAAAACAATAATTTTTTTAATCTTTTATGTGATATTAACACGAAATATTTTAAACACTACATAATGAAAATCTAGTATCTTACATTAATGACGAATACGTTTAATTTAGGTGGAAGTCACTGGATATTGTCTGATCAAATTTAGTTATGTAGTATCAATAATTCAATAAATTTAATATATTTCTGTTTTGAAAGATTTTTTATTCCCTAAAGTTATCACATGTTTCCATAATTCTATTAAAAAGCGTAAATCTAAAAAATTAAAATAAATATGTTGTACATTTTTCATGGCAATTTTTTCTTGTAATAAAAGTATTAGTTCGTATTAGAACGGTATTAGGTATTAGTGTTCGTTAGAACATTTAATTTTTTGGGACCTTCATAAATTTGTAAAATATAGACCCCAAACAGCAAACCGTGGATACGTATATCTATATGATATGCAGATGAATATTCTATGGATATACATATCTGTCTGGGGCGGAATCATTCAATAATTTCATATTTTTGTTGCTCTAAAATATGGCGAATCGTTTAGAAATATTATGCATAATCTACAGTTTTTGAAACTTGAATGCCACTTATACAGGGTGGCGCACCTCATTCGCCTCGGTTGATTATACGAAAACAGAAAGATGTAGAAACACAATATATTATGAGTATATGTGGGGAGGCAATGTGCACAATTTAAAATTATTTTGAAATATACAGGGTGTTTCAGAACTAAGGTCCATACCAAAGTTATATTTTTTCTTATGGAACACCCGGTATTTTATTTCATTTTTGGATTTGTGGGCCCAAAAAAAACCATTTATTATAAGGGTTAAGTATGTTTAAAATCTTTGGTTTTTGAGATATTTAAAGATATTTAAATTTGCATGCTACTATAGAATAGATTATTAACACCCTGTACATTACTTTTCAGAATTAATTCTTGTGCAGAGTTAAAGGTAAAGAAATAAACTTTACTGGAAAGTGTTATTACTTCCTTAAATTTATACAGGGGTATCAAAAATTGCTGATTACATTTATTTTACATAAAAACTTCGTTATTTCAAATACAACACCCAGCATTTTTATAATAAAAGAAGCAGATTCAAATGCTCTTTCAAACTATGTTAGGGTTTTCTATACCTATCTAGCTCAGATTTTGAATAAAGGGCAATTTTTCAATAAAATGACAACCAAGAGAGCGAATGTCATCATATCAGGTTTTTTATTGACATTTAGTAGCTATTTTCAAAATCGAAATTAGTTTATGGATTTATTTAAATTTATACCAGTTTACTTTTACTTAAATTTACCTACAATAGTTTAATAAATAATATTTATTAAATATATATGTATTTCTTCTTCTATCAAGAAAAACGAAGAAGTAGTTCTTTGATTTATTTTACAATGACTTGTAGATATATGGATTTGCTATAAAAGAGACAATTACGGCAAATTCATTTTCTGCACGTCCAACGACAGGTTTCTGCCTCTAACAGGTTTTTTATAAACCACATTACCAGCTCTGCAAAATAGGGCAAGTAGTTTGTCAAAGGAACGCTTATCAGGAAGATTCCTATTTTTGGATACCTTTGAGCATAAGTTCTTGAGAACAAGAAGCATTTTTTCTAACAGAACAAAATCACTAGAAACATATCCATTCGTTCCGCCAGCAGACATTGCTTTATTTTTCTTGATAACAAAATGAATACTTATTTATTAAACTATTGTAGGTAAATCTAAGTAAACTGTTATAAATTATAAATAATAATGTCCATAAACTAATGTTGACTTTGAAAATAGTTACTAACTGTCACTATAAAATTGCCATGGCGACAGCCATGATCTTGATTGCAATTTTATTTAAAAATCGCTTTTTATTCAAAATCTGACCTAGATAGGTATATGAAATCGAATATAGTTTGAAAGAGCATTTGAATCTGCTTCGGATTATTTTAAAAAATACAGGGTGTTGCATTTGAAATAACGAAGTTTTTATATAAAATAAATCCTTAAAATAGAGCAGCAATTTTTGATACCCCTGTATAAATTTAAGGAAGTAATAACATTTTCCAGTAAAGTTTATTTCTTTACCTTTACACTCAGCACAAGAATTAATTCTGAAAATTAATGTACAGGGTGTTAATAATCTATTCAATAGTAGATTGCAAATTTAAATATCTTTAAATATCTCAAAAAGCAAAGATTTTAAACGTATTTAACCCTTATAATAACTGCCTTTTTTTGGGCCCAAGAATCCAAAAATGAAATAAAATACCGGGTGTTCCATAAGAAAAAATATAACTTTGTGGGATCTTAGTTCTGAAAAACCCTGTATATTTCAAAATAATTTTAAATTGTGCACATTGCCTCCCCACATATACCCATAAAATATTTTGTTTCTACATCTTTCCGTTTTCGTATAATCAACCGAGGCGAATGAGGTGCGCCACCCTGTATATTTAAATACTTTTGATTCTTTTTTAAATTACTTACACTCTGAAAAAAAAACTATTATATTTTAGTAATTATTTAAAACTTTACAATGCTTTATATTTAATTTATGATATTATTTGATATACCAGGTGCGTCTCAAAAGTGGATCACCTCTATATAACTTTTTTATTTTAGTAGTATTATATTATATTTTAATCATTTCCTGTTTCACCGAAAATTATTACAACTTTTGATTTTTAAATGGTACCCTTGGTATTTTGTTACTTTATCCGATAGAAAATGGGGGTGTAATTACGTGGATATTGGGTGCAATAACATACAATAACTCAATTTTCCCGATTATTCAACTCTCACGAAACAATATTTTATAGCTTTACAGCTTCTCACAGCGATTTGATCAAAAGCAAAAATTTATTCAAGCAGTTCGCCAAAACAAGTGAGTAAACAAAGTATATCCATTACATAATCAAAAAATTAAAAAGGCATATACTATGAGGGTATAAAAAAATATAATTTGCAGTATTAATTGTATACTTTTTATAAACAACTAGTGCTTAATTTTTTCTAAAATATTTTAAATGTACCTTTAAAAAATTTTGTTATAGCTGAAATAGCCCCAGTTATGTCTCCACTAGCAAAAAAGTAAGGTGCGTAAAGCTATGGTTGTTGCCGTAGTTGAACGCATCTAAAAAGTTTTATTAGGTTGAACAATAAATTATATATCAAGTTAGGTCTTTTGAAGATATAAAAATATTTACTTTTTTATTTTTATTTTTAGAATTTTCACAAATTATACTTCCTAACACTTTTAGAATAATTGTATAACAACTTTTTCATGTATTCGCTATTTAAACCCGTGCATTTGTTTAGTCCGCTGTTTGTAGTATTCCAGCACCGACGGAAAATGCACCAAGTCTATATCTAGGACGACTGTAAGCTGTACGAAATATATAAATTAATAAAATATATGTAAATTAGTAGTATTTACTAACATGTCGTTGGTATGGGTATCAGGATCGCCTAAAGGAAAACGAACGTGCCATATACCCCAAGAGGTATCAAGAACAACGATCCTAAAAGACTGATGAGAGGCTAGCTCTCTAAAAACGATCTCTAAAAAACCATCCAGACTCGGAACTAGATAACACTTGCTAAAATAGGAATGCGACTACTAACCACCATTTTATTATAGTCTCTGATAAGATATTGCAGACTAGTGCTGTTCTTACAAATTATTAATCTGTTCAAAGGTGGAAGATATATGGCTTGGGAAAATACCGATTCTACTTGGATAGTGATGAAACTTTGGACATAGTATGTACCTGTTCCAGATGGGAATCTAACCAAGTTTGAATTATTCACTAAAACTATACTGGTTTTAGTGGATCTTGATTTAAGATATTACCACCTAATAAATGATTCCGCTCATACCCTCAGTGCAAGTCAAACATATATATAGTGTGTGCTTGTACCCTTTCTATATCTGCACCCATTCTCCTATCCCTGTACTAACTTATGCAGGTCTTTGATAGGATGGGAGCATAGTTCCTCTGGTTCTAGCCCAGCTTTCCCAAATAAAAAGTGTCGCTTGTGATCCAAAGCCTCGCAGTGACATATTATGTACTCCGCTGTTTCAGGATCTTTATCGCAGAGTCTGCAGCAAAGACTTCCTTGATACAGGGTGAGCTTGTTCAGGTAACACTTGACAACCATGTATCTTGTCAAGAGGACTGTTGTAATCGCTCTTTATTCCTGAGCATTAGCAGTTCCTAAGCATTAGCAGTTCTTTTGTGGTTTTAGAGCTAGGTCCTGGGACAAAGGCCTTGCTGTGCCTGTGTTCCTGTATGTTTCCACAGTGGACATTCTGCTTTTCCCTGCGAGTTTTAGTGCACTACAGGCCATACCTTTGGGTATTCCAAGTACTGGCTCTGGACCAAGATAGGATGCAGATGATCCTTGCCTACCTAGCTCATCGGCTTTCTCGTTGCCTTGGATGCCGCTGTGGCCCTGCGCCCAGAATAATTTAATTCTGTTCCTTCATGCCAGAGCTCTTAATTCACCTCAACTAGTGTGTGCTTGCTATAATCTTAGATCTTATGCTATAATTTACCACAAAAACCAACTAATATAAATAAAACCTTATTTATTTTATATACTTTCTACATAAATTAATGCAACTCTATCTAAATTAAATATGTACAGAAAACCGAGTATACACTAAATATTGAAAATTTACTTATTAGAAATGATAAAGACTAGATTAAATAATAACAATTATGTCACGTATTTTGATATAAAATACAATTTGAAGGTACTAACATAAAACCCAAAATATTAAACGGCACTGCATTATTTTCTTTTTAAAATAGTTCTAATCTTTTTAACAATAATAGACCATGAAAATTCAGTCAATTAGTTTTGTTTTTTGGACTATTGAAACAAATTAATTATAATGTGGCCCATAAAGTCTATCGTTAAAAGAGAATATACAATTATAAACCTTTTTAACTAAGTGGCTCTTGACAGATGAATAATACGTATTTTCCACAAAAATGTTTATCTGACATAATTCAGATCTTGTTTGAGCATAAAAAACTTAACACTATATTTTTGCTTCCTTTTCTTTTCGATCTTCAAAAATTATGCCAACGATACCATGCCAACTATAAGAACAATTAATTAGAAATTTATAAAAAATATATTACAAAAGAATAGATAGATTTTCAGTGTTTGATACATGTGTACTAAAATATCAATATCTAATATAACCTATCTGGTTAGTATAGTTAAGAAACGCAAACTCCTATAAAAAACTTAAGTCTGTACAACTATCGTTCATTCGTACGTCATAAATTGTCGTATTCTTTATTTCACGTCAAAACGGGATAAAATTGATTGTAGTCGTCATTAGGCTTTTACAGAAATTCAATAGTGTAATAATGTAGTAATGTAATAATAGTGTAATGTGTAGCTTAAAAGAGGCTACTATTACACTATCAAATACTTCACAAAATATCTTTTAAATAAAATCTTTGTGCAAAAAATTTTTATAGTCATGAATACTATTACACTAAAAAATTTCTTTGTCAAAGATCTTTTATAAAAGATATTTGATAAAAAATTTGATAGTGTTAGGCGGCTAGTACACTATAAAATTTCTGTGTCAAAAATTTTATTTAAAAGATATTTATGAAGAAGAATTTGATAGTGTAATATGTGTGATTTTATAAAATATTGTATATTAACCATAGACTTAAAATAAAATATAGACTGAGCATCTCATTCATAAATAGCTGGAACATGCGGTCAGACAATGTCTTGTTATTGTTGTGTTATTGTTTTAGGTTATAACGAGTGCGACACGAGCGATAGATAGGTTGTCTCTGTCGTAACGGTCGTTCCCTGACGACTCTGCCGAGAAACACAACACTGTCTTTCGTTTCTCAAGTACACCTGAACTCTCCGTATCATAGCCGAGTAATTTTTTTATTTTAATGAAGCTATAATTAAATTAAAAATATATCGTATTTAAACTTTTTTATATTTTATTAAGATTTAGGACAGGTTTTGTAAATAAAAGTTTAGAAAAAACGTCTTAGAGTCCAAAAAGGATAAAAATAATACAATACACGTTATAGAAGAAATTTTATAATCGAAATTACGTAATTTTTGAAATTAATAATAAATTATTAATTTTAGTCAAACATTTACAACTCCTAATATTAATCAAAACAGGATCTATTCCACAGATATAATAGAATCGGCGACACGGAGAGAAAAAAAATATGATTGTTGTAATTTTTTTTCTGGTTAAGTGATGTTTTATGTAAATTAGAGAAAACATAAATCTGTTCCATTAAAGCAAGGAAGGTGATAGGAAGTGGATAAAATGAAAATTACATTTATTTAACTCGGTACTGTCTTTATTATACCGAGTGCGTCCCAAAAGTGGCTCATCCCCATAATTTTTTTATATTTTCAAATAAAAAAAAAAGATTTAGTATGTTAGTACATGACATAAATTAGGATTGATTGACGCATTCAATTGTTTTTGGTCACTTCCTGTTTCACCGGAAATGACTATAACTTTTTTAATTTTTAAACGGCACCCTTGGTATATTTCTACTTTATTCGATAGAAAATGACACTCTGAATAGAATGACACATCATATGTCAACTTTTGACATTCTCGCATATGGTTTAATTGTAATTGTAACACGCGGTTCATAACGATAATTTGACTCGAAATACCAAGTGTGTGTATCAATATATTCATAAAAAATGCTTTTTCCAAATATGCTAATGAGTCACCCTTGTTCCATTTGAAAAAATTGACATATGTATGATTAAAAATACGATTTGTACATCTTTTAACTGGCCTAGACAAGACACGAAACCCATTAGACGATCAAAACTATTTTTCCAAGGTTCCTTGATTAAAACTTAGTGTTTTTAACAACACCATGGCACCCTGGATTGAAATTTAAAATAGGATTTGTTTTTAAGCGACAATGTCAAAAGTTGACATATGATATGTCATTCTATTCAGAGTATCAAGGTGCCTTTAAAAATCAAAAGATGTAATCATTTCGGTGAAACAGGAAGAGACCAAAAACAATTGAATACGTCAATAAATCCTAATTTATGTCATATACCTACTAACATACAAATCTGTTTTTTTTTATCTGAAAAAATAAAAAAGTTATAGGGGTGAGCCACTTTTGAGACGATCCGGTATATTAAAAAATATTGTTTCATAATGTAATATCATTTTAAAATTCTTGTATGTTATTTTAGATTCTGAAGATAATTTTAGAATAAACCGGAATATATTTTTAATAAAAACATTATTAATTATTAACAGGGTTATAATTATGATTTTGTTACAATGTAAGTAAGTAAATAATGTAATGTAAGAGAAAAAAATTCAGATTTTACATTTTACTAAAATATTATCTAAATAAGCGCCTTTCTACAACAAAGCCACTGACTCCCAATGGGTAAATTGAGAGTTGCCTACCAGTCAAAAGTCGTTTCAAGACTTAAATGGATTATTTAAGTCAAATTTCTTGCAAATTTGGCACTGGCGAACCATATTTTATAGTTCTTGAACAGAAGAAGTCAATAAAATAAACACTTAAGCACTACAAGCTAAGAAAATGCGTTAATACAGCCGGGGAGATAGCGGCAACAAAGCTTTACCGCACACGTGCGACACGTACTACAAGGTAATAAATGAATGAATAGGCTCCCTCGCCTCTAATCGGTGTTGTCATATTGTAAAGAACTTATCCTTTTTAAACAGTATCCGACTTATAATTTAGTAGTATAAGGACTATTTAATACATCTCTGGAATATTAAAACCTACTTTATTAAACTGTAGTATTAATATCTCAATATATGTGTATAACAAGAAAAAAAATCTTGATAATATTAAAGACGTGACAACATAGGCTGGATGAGGAAGGCTCGGTCGACTGTACCCAGAAGTAAATATGTGTACAAAAAATGTTGTCTGTCCGCGTTGAGATGTAAATAGTGTAGTCTATATTTTATTTTAAGTCTATGATATTAACACTATCAAATTTTTTATTAAATATCTTTTATAAAAAACCTTTGACAAAGAAATTTGATAGGGTAATAGTAGCCTTAATATATAATATTTTATAAAATTACACATACTATTACACTATCAAATTCTTCATAAAATTTATTTGAAATTTTATGGTGTAATGCCGCCTAACACTGGCCTAAGATATTAACCTTAAGGAAATGCGGTTCGTACTTCTCATTTCTCATACTTGCGCCCATTAGAATCTTATGTTTTGAGTTAATCTAATTTGACAAATAAATTTAAAATTTAGAAAACAAGAGAGACTAATGTTCTCAATGATAACATTCACTTGTTTGTGGATAAAAATAATTTCAAGACAAAAAAAATAAATAAAGTACACAAAAATACAATGTTTTTCAAAATTCACTTAATAGTGTTTTATGTCATTTTAATTAGATTTTTTAATAATGGACTAATATTTTTTAATAAACATTTGAGATGGATATTTTCAAAAACCATAGAAAAAATTAATTATTTTCAATTAAAAAAAATCAAATCAACTTAAAAAATATAAGTACATTTGAGTACTTATAGACATCATTGTTGGCATAATTTTTAAAACAGATTAATGCAAAGTAAGATAAATCAATTTTTCCCTTGTCTGTAATCCTTTTTGGAAACTATCATGTTAATTAAAAACTACTAATATCACTGTAACTGCAATACAACTGAAAAATCTGAAGTTGAATTAAATAATAAGTAAAAAAATCAAATTACTAAACAGTAATATAAATAAATCTTATTTTTTTTTTAACGAAATATGTAGTGTGAATTTTATCTTTCGTAATTTTAGGAACTAATCTTGAATAAATCTTAACATAACTTAGGTTAATATAATTTCTACTTGCTTAAAAATTTGCATACTTTTTGTACACTAACTTTAAAATTTTTGGGTGAAAAATCTATTAACAACATGGAGTTCTGGCAGGTTCCGCTTCTACTAAGTGATATTCTAAACCATTAGGTCTTGCAAATCCAGGTTTTATACCATCCCAACCATCTTCTACCTAAATAAAACAAGAATATCCATAGATATATTATCATTAGAAACAGTATTTAAAGAAGTTATCGTTAGGGTTGTTAACATAATCTTATATCGTAGATATTTTTTTAAATTAACAATGTATCATGTTACAAAATAGAATATCATACATTTATTTTTCGGCCATCAGATTGTGTTATGCAGATTATGTAAATATTTAAAAATAGTTAAAAAAGAAAAAAATATATTTTTTGTGTAAATATATTGGATGTTAGCACCATAGAGAAATGAAACAAGTTTAGATTGGAAAGTGCCCATGTAAACATTATTTGGCGCTATTCTTGCAACGGTCGCGACCGAAAACTTTTGAAAATTTCAGAGCGGTTCGGCTTTTTCCGGAATTATATCGCCAAATATTGTTTATTCAAATTTATTGTTATTGTCGTTTAATTTTATAAATAAAATACAGTGTGTTGCATACAAGAAACTTTATTTTATATAAGGACGCATGTATTAAATACCTATGAAACATTGGAAATCGACGTTATGCCACGATCCACGATGGTTTTTGCAGTTCACAGTTCACAGCACAGCTTTTTAAGTTTTTAATGCCACTTTTTCACAATTATCACCGGTTGGAGTAAATAAAACTTGAATTAAACTCACAAGATAGCAATAATTACTTTGAAAATGAACGCTATAAACACTTTTCGGAATTTCTTTAATGAGAGCGGTTTAGATTTTGAAAGATTATTATGATTTTTGAAGATTCTGACTTTGACAAGAGAAAATTATTTCGGTTTTTGTTTGCCGTTGTTCTTAGCGACCGCTATAGCAGCGCCAGATCGCGTATAACGGTCGCGACCCAAAATAATTTCGCGACCTAAAATTTTTACGGGCTTTCCAATCTAAACTTGTTGCATTTATCTATGGTTAGCACATCTTGTCCAAAACTTGAAAAAAGACAGCGACAATTACCGTCATTTCAATTCAAAAATAGACTTTTGTCAATATTTAGAAGGCTTTAATATTATAAGTCTCTTAAAAAAACTTACTTTATATTCACCAGACTGAACTCTATTATATACTTCTTGAGTAACAGCTGTAAATGCTTCTTCAACATTCATACCATTTTTTGAGGATGTTTCTACATGAAAAATTCCATGTTGTTCTGCAAATGCTTTTGCCTCTTCTTGAGATACCTAGTAATAACATTTCATACAAATAAAATTATTAAGCGCCTGTGTTGGATATTATATTCAATGACTGACAATATACCTAAATATTATGCCTCATATATTATGTTGAATACTATTTTTATTTTACGGGACTTACTTCTCTATGTACTCCATTACTGACTAAATCTGCTTTACACCCAACCAAAGCAAAAACAGGTCTATGCGGTTCAATATTCCTTCTAGCTTCATTCATCCATTGAGGTATATGTTCAAAACTAGACCTATAAAATTAATTTAGTAATTATATGTTTACTTAAAATATTAATTTATTATATTTGGCAATTCTAATTAGCAACTATATTATAAAAATGCTTTTAATACCTATTGCAAATGTCATAAACTAAAAATGCCCCAACAGAATTGCGGTAGTAGGATTTTGTTATTGACCGAAACCTCTCCTGACCAGCCGTATCCCAAAGCTGAAGTTTAATTCTAGTGCCGTTTTTAACTTCTATAAGTCTTGCAAAAAAATCTACACCAACCGTAGGATCTGAGAGCTAAAATAACAATCGCATAATATACAACTCTTCAATTTTTGAATAAATTATTTTATGTTAAGATATCAGTTCTTTTAATTATAAATTAAAGTAAAACGTTATTGGACACAACTACTAATGAATAACTATAAATACCTTTTAAATACGTAATAAAAGTATAATTACCTCAGCAAATTTACCATCAGTAAAATATTTTAACAAAGAACTTTTTCCAACAGTGCTATCACCAATTAGAATTAATCTAAATTGATAGTCAAATATTGGTTCCACCATTTTAACTCATTCCTTAGAATATTATTCAGAAATAAGTGTATGATTCTTTGTTTTTGTATTATTTCTGTGTACTTTGGACACCTATATTTAATATTATTTTGTTGAATTATTTACCTTCTTGTGACTTTGACAGGTATTAATTGACAACAATGACAACAACTTGACATCTTGATAAGTTTGACCATTGATAACATAGAGTCACAGATGTATAATACATCCGTGTGTGTCAATCAGGGTTCGGAAGCAGGGTTCGGAAAACTACATGTTACTTTTAAAAACTACATAAACTACATTACATGTAGTTAATGTAGTTTATGTAGAGGGTGTAGTTTATGTAATCTATGTATGTAACTTTTAAAAACACATAATGTATTTAAGAAAACAGAAGAAATATGGCTTTAAATATGATATTTACATCATATTATCTCTATTACACCTCGTATAAAGGCAAATTGGTAATGGTGTGGATCCGGTGGCTGACCTTGAAACGAGTTTTTCCTGCATATAGTCACAGACACTACGCATGCGCACATCTTTGATGTTGCCAGATTGCGAGTTATTTTGGAATTATTTTCAGTAGAAAACAAATAGGTATGTGCTTTTCAGTGTTTTTTGTCAATATATACCGTATGATCGAAAAAACGGCGTCCAGTTGGCTGAGAAATGACGATTGAGGACATTTTCCATATAAAATGACAGCGATCTTCATTTCATGGTCATTGCTGACGCTATTTTTTTTCAATCATAGTAGGCGGTATATTATTATTTATATTATTATTTATATTATTATTTTAATATTTCGCACAACACGTGAACGCTTATTACATATGTATTATCATAGTCAATAAAATTATATATATAGAAATAAAACTCTAGATTCCTATCTAGATTATTATGCTACGTTTAAAAAGTGCTTTATTAAAAATTCGGGAAATTAAAAGGGATGTGTCCAAGTTTTTTTCTTTTTTTTAAATTTTTAAATGCTGTAGTGTTCATAATGGTTTTTTTTAACATTCCATCACAACAACGGAGGCCTTAAAAGGCCTTTTAGCCTCCGTAATTAAAATTGTAGAATCAGCTTCAGCAATAGTTACCTTGTTTAATTCTGCTTATACATATATTGCATTAATTTTTCCGCTACATTAAGATTTCTCTATTCTTACACCTAATTTATGTGATTTTCTTAGCATATATGATTTATAAGCCATATTTTTCCTAATGGAAGGATGGAATAGGATATGCAAAATTAAGATATTTTAACATTTATTTTCCAGACCAAGCATAATATAGTATTAAGATTAAGACATAACAAATATTATAAGAAAGATCTTTAATATAAATCACAAACTAAGTCTTAATTTGCTCTTGTATAAACACAGGTATAAAACTAATCAAAACTCAACCTTCACCATATTGTCAAGATTTGGCATTATAGGAAACGAAATTACAGTAAATTAAGAAAATAATATCAAAGTACACGATATTAAATACTGTAATGTATTCTACGACACAAACCATCTCCCTTCTAAAGAGAAAAAGATAAAACATAAAGCTTATTTTAGTCTTATCAACACACTCTTCGATAAAATATATGTCTAAAATTGCTATTAATCCACTAACTTGATATTTTTAAGAAATTATGATACAAACATTACAATCAAAGTATATTATATTAGTAACATTATAGGTAAAATATGTTACCTCTATCTCCCATTGACGTGTATTGTTCTATAAGACTCGTCATAGTAGTATTTCAAAACATCAATACAAATAATCAAAACTATTGTTGCCTGTCTGTAAAGAACTAGAAATTAAATAACTTGAAAGAAATAAAACAATTCTAATAAGTTTAAACCCATTAAGAAAAAATTCGTGTAAATATATAAATAAATGTTATTATTATTCAACCACTTCCATATCTCATCTGTGATTATTACAATTTTATATGTTCATATTACTTTCATTTCACAATCTTCATTATCCTTCTTACCTTAATTTTGGATATTAAGATAAATCTGAAATTATAAAATTAATTATAGAATTTGTATTATTATTGATTAACACTCAAAAAAAATTTTTTCAACTGCAAATAATTCGAAAAGAAACTGCAATTTGGCAACATCGACGATGTGCGCTTGCGTAGTATCGATGATCAAATGCAGCAAATATGGGCTTCAAGGTCAGCCACCGGATCCACACCTTTACCGGCCAAATTATTCATAATATCAATACATAGTTTATTAACGTAGTTTTCATGTAGTTAATAAACGGGAAAAGACGTAGTTTTTGAAGAAAAACTACACGTAGTTAATCAGGTAAATTACGTCTTAATTAACTACTTCCGAACCCTGTTCGGAAGTAGTTAATTAAGACCACAGATAACACATGTTATCTGTGTTGAGACGTAATTTATTTTCTTCGAAAACTACGTCTTTTCCCGTTCATTAACTACATGAAAACTACGTTAATGGGTCCGGTGAACTATCCTGACACACGATTTTTGCATTTTTCTTCTTTTTTGTATCAAAAAGTAACCATTTTTAGTAGTAGTATTAAATAAAAATAAATGGAGATTACCTTTGAATAAGAAGACTAAGGAAGGAGCATAATGCTATCCATGTATTCATGCATGGTGGGCGGAAAAGCCACCGCCACCATAAAAGCTCTCTAGGGTGGGGATCCTTAGTTCTGTTTGACGATTCATTTGACACATTTGAATTTGATTTGAAATTTTGTGGATTTGTCAGTCTTTACGGAGCTTATTTTATGTTATTTATTATTTATTCTACTACTGATAGTTGTATAAAGGTAGTAAATCTAGATGGAAATTGTGGCAGAACTTAAATTGACAGTGACACTATCGCGATTTATCGAAAAAGACTCTAAAATAGTTGGTTGTGCAGCGTGCGGTAGATCTCGGCAAAAATTGAGTGAAATAATGGAACAACTTTTCGCTAGTAAGTGACTATATAATATACATACGTGTAGTAAACCGATCATTTATGAAATTCACTTTAATTAACTAAATTATATATTTTTCTTGCATTTTAGCTTTTATTTATTACTTGTCAAAGATTAGATGTCAAAGAATTTAGATACGTTAATTTGACTTATCTGCTTCAGTAGCGTATCGGATGTTTGTGTTAATAAATACTTATTATAACTTATCTATTTTTATTAGAATTATATATTTTTATAACAATTTTAATAACTACCAACATTTATTCACAACGTAAAATAAAACAACAAATTATTGAGTCTACCCCACGTCTACCCTACATCATAGTTTTACATTTTTTAAATAAAATTAGAACGACACTGATAAACCGGAATTAATAAAAATAAGTCGGCCATATTTGAGGCCCATCGTGGTGTACCTAAGATTTTTGATATGCTCCTTCCTTAATACGCACAGAATTTTAAAATATTTTAATTTAATTTTAGTAGTTTTTGACACATATTTGACGTTATGGAGGATTTTAACACTTGATTTAACAAGGATTAATTTACGAATTTTATCTTAATTTTATAATTTAATTTAATAAAAGCCAGTTCTGACCAGATATTTTTAACTTTGAGTTGCAGTTTATGCTGATCTAAAAAATTCTCATTCACCATTTTGTCATAAACAAGGTGTAAATCAAAAGTCTGTCAAAAGTGTAAATGAATACCGGGTGCGTCTCGAAAGTGGCTCACCCCTATATTTTTTTTTATTTTTTAAGATAAAAAAACGAGATTTGGTATGTTAGTATATATGACGTAAATTAGGATTGACTTAATTGAAATTTTTAAAAGTAACATTTTAATTTAATCTTTAATGATTGGTATAATTTCAATCTAGAGTGCCATATGGTTGTGTTAAAAACACAAATTTTGGTAAAGGTGTGGATTCGGTGGCTGACCTTGAAGCCCATATTTGCTGCATTTGATCATCGATACTACGCAAGCGCACATCGTCGATGTTGCCAAATTGCAGTTTATTTTCGAATTATTTGCAGTTGAAAAATTTCTTTTTGAGTGTTAATCAATAATAATACAAATTCTATAATTAATTTCATAATTTCAGATTTATCTTGATATCCAAAATTAAGGTAAGAAGTATAATGAAGATTGTGAAATGAAAGTATAATGAATATATAAAATTGTACTAATGATAACATTTATTATATATATTTACATTTACGGATTTTTTCTTAATGGTTTTAAACTTATTAGAATTATTTTATTTCTTTCAAGTTATTTAATTCCTAGTTATTTACAGGCAACAATAGTTTTGATTATATGTATTGATGTATTGAAGTACTACCATGACACAATATACACGTCAATGAGATAGAGGTAACATTTTACCTATAATCTGTGCTATAATGTTACTATAATATAAGATACTTTGATTATAATGTTTGTCTCATAATTTCTTAAAAATATCAAGTTAGTGGATTAATAGCAATTTTAGACATATATTTTATCGAAGAGTGTGGTGATAAGACTAAAATAAGCTGAATAAGCTTTACGTTTTATCTTTTTCTCTTTAGAAGGGAGATGGTTTGTGTCGTAGAATACATTACAGTATTTAATATCGTGTACCTTGGTATTCTTTTCTTAATTTACTGTAATTTCTTGTTTCCTATAATGCCAAATCTTGACAATATGGTGAAGGTTGAGTTTTGATCTTATTAGTTTTATACCTATGTTTATACAAGACCAAATTAAGACTTAGTTAGTTTGTGATTTATATTAAGATCTTTCTTATAATATTTGTTATGTCTTAATCTTAATACTATATTATGCTTTTGTCTGGAAAATCAGTGTTAAAATATCTTAATTTTGCATATCCTATTCCATATCCTTCCATTAGGAAAAATATGGTTTATAAATCATATATGCTAAGAAAATCATATAAATTAGGTGTAAGGTAAGAATAGAGAAATCTTAAGGTAGCAGAAAAATTAATGCAATATATGTATAAGCAGAATTAAACAAGGTAACTGTTAATGTTGCTGAAGCTGATTCTACAGTTTTAATTACGGAGGCTAAAAGGCCTTTTAAGGCCTCCGTAGTTTTGATGGAATGTAAAAAAAGCTTATTATGAATATGACATCTGATGACATGGAGCTACAGCATATAAAA